GAGCTGCGGGATTGACGTAACGAGCTTGGGTTTCCCCCAGCGTCGGGAACATGGATGAGAAATCCAACAAGCTGCTGCTGGCTTTGGTGATGTTCTTCCTCTTTGCCGTGATCGTCCTCCAATACGTGTGCCCCGGGACAGAATGCCAGCTCCTCCGCCTGAAGGCGTTCAGCTCCCCGGTGCCGGACCCGTACCGCTCGGAGGACGAGAGCTCCTCCAGGTTCGTGCCCCGCTACAATTTCAGCCGCGGCGACCTCTTGCGCAAGGTAGACTTCGACATCAAGGGCGATGACCTGATCGTGTTCCTGCACATCCAGAAGACCGGGGGCACCACTTTCGGTCGGCACCTGGTGCGCAACATCCAGCTGGAGCAGCCGTGCGAGTGCCGCGTGGGTCAGAAGAAATGCACTTGCCACCGGCCGGGTAAGCGGGAGACCTGGCTCTTCTCCAGGTTCTCCACGGGCTGGAGCTGCGGGCTGCACGCCGACTGGACCGAGCTCACCAGCTGCGTACCCGCGGTGGTGGACGGAAAGCGCGACGCCAGGCTGAGACCGTCCAGGTGTGTGTTCTGTGGCTGAAAGGGGCCTTGAAGTACCGAACCGACCTGGGTTTGGGCGGGCTGAGGGCGGGAAGGCGCTGTAGCCTGCCACCTTGGCGCACGGGAGGGCGCTCCCCGGCCGGGCAGGCTTTTGGTACCCGGGTGCCCACCTTTGCGGTGCTGTGGCGGCTTCCGAAAGTCTTTTTGCAACTCTGGCTCGGGAGGGCCCTCCGTGTGTGGGAAGGTTGGCCGGCTGCGTGGTTGGGAGTCTGCGGGCGGCCGCCGCCGCCGCCTGGACCGGACACTACATTAGCACTGGGGAACTGCGCTGCAGCGCCTCCGGGTCTCTTTCTCCTGCGCACCTCCCTTCCCAGAAGCTTCCTTTCTTTACCGAGAAAATTCAATTTCTCTTGTGTTTCAGATTTTGTCTGCTCCTGGTTGCTAACTCTTTCCTTCTGTTTTTCATTTTTCTTTTTGCCCCTTCCACTCTATCTCTCTCCTCCCGCCCGTCTTTTACTGCCTCCTTCTCTCCTTACCCGGCTCTCCCCGGGAGAGTGGTTGTTCTATGCCCCTGTTTGGACACCTGGAGAGAGCTTTTATTTCCCATCTCATAACTGGCAGCCGTCATGGCAGCCAAGTTTTGCTCGTGTGAGCGGCACCCCGCGGGCTCAGGGCTGCTGGGACGCTGCCTTGGACCCCATATGGTCTTCAGGCACGAAAAGCCTCTCCTGATGTACAAAAATGCATGCACCTCCACACCTGGCACCCTTGCCCAGTGTCAGGGAGCCTGGGGATGATGTAGAAAAAGCTGATTTATGAATAGTCCATAGCCAGAAGCAAGGTATCTTCCCTCCAGTGCAGTGACAAGTTACCGAAGGTCATGGAATGCTACACAGAGGACCTGTGCACTTACTTTGGGGTGAAGTTGTTCCAGCCAAGTCTAGCGTTTCCTGAAAACAAACCTGGGTTAGGTCAGGGAGTCTGGGGTGTGCACAACTTGCGGAACCTTTGAAGGGGTGTCTTCGAGTAGACAGGGACATGGCCTTGCCCCCACCCCATTTAGGTGACAGAGGCCTTAAAGGCTGCTGCTGCAGTGGCTGCTTGCCTGGGCCTCTTTTGTCCTCCCCCTCGAGAGGGGGAATTCAGTGTCCTGGACAAGGACCTGCTTTGCAGGTGGCTCTAGGATACAAGTTGGTTTGGTTTGGTTTGCTCCAATTAGCTGCAGAAGAAAGAGCCCTCCGACTTTTTGGTCATTATTAACATTTAGAGGGGACCTCATTCCCTACCTCCCCTGCTCACTTTCTCTTGCTTCCATTTCCTTTCTCAAATGACAGAATTCTGGCAGACTCCTTTGAACTTTCATTTCCTTTCTAGACTAACAGATTAGCTTTTCCATCCCAAGAGAACGTTAGCCCCAGGAAGCTGGCCAACTCAAACTCCATTGCAAAAATTGGGTTAAGTCATTGTCACAGCAAGGTTCTGCTGTTGGCACTCAGGGGGGATGAGGCAGGAGAATTACAATTTCCAAGCCAGCCTGGGCAAATTAGTGACATAGCAAGATCCTATATGAAAATTTAAAAAAATAGAGAGGGGCTGGAGATATAACTGAGTGAGAAGGCTCTGGGTTCAGTCTCCAGTACTGCAAAAAAAAAAAAAAAAAAAAAAAAAAAAAAAACAAAAAAAAAACAATGTATCAACAACAAGTTATCTCTCATGCTGACAGGGCTGGTAAGTGTGCTGAGGGATAGTGCAATTAAAAAAAGACATCTCTATGGAAAAAAACTGAATTCCATAGCTATGACTGTGGCAGAAAAGTAAAAAACAAGGTTATAGTGGCCTCGGAAGCCATAGACGTGTCTGGAGTTCCACAGGGCACATGTGCCTTTAGTAATGTAAACATGTAGATCAGGAGGCGACATCTGGAAACACACATTATTAATGTGATCTGAGTGATCTACTTGGTTGCCATTGTCCTTTGGCTGATTCCTTCAGATATTCTCCATAAGATAATCATAATCCCTCAAAGCTTCTTGGATATTCCACAGTGAAAGAAAATTACTTGTAATAAACTAGGATTTTCTTGGTGTTCAAAGAGTGATACCACAGTGCCATCCAGTCTAATTGAAAAGAATCGTGTTTCTGAAAGTCATTCACTAGATTTTACGGTATTTGCAAAAAGTAAGTAAAATGTGCCACACATTGCTCTTCAAGGGTACCATTTTATTTCATTCATTCCCGCCTACCTCTAGAAATCTGCATCCTGAAGAATAGTGAGCCTGAGGGTCCCAGAATTTCACCAGATGTTGACAGGTTCTTGCTTGCTGTTCTTATGATCCATAAGAACTAAGAGGTGGGGGGGGCAGGGTGTGTCTGTGAGCCCGCACATGTGTAGGAGAAGGGAAAATGTGGCAGCCAAGGCACCTGCATTGCCAAACATTCCTCAGGGTAGTGAGCTTTTCTTGGGAAGATGAGAGAGTCTTCTCCGGAGTTCCTGTGTTAGGCAGCCTCTGCATTCCAGCTGGTGGTCTTTGAGCTCCGTGGAACTGAAGGAAATAGCTCTGGCTGTCTGGCTCGGGAGTTAAAACACCTTTGACTTAGTTCTAGACCAGCGCTGAATCAGCTGTGTGACCTTGGAGTGCAGCCTGCGTGGAGAGTGCATTTCAGATGTGTTTTCATGTTGCTATCTTGGTATTTCTCTGTAAAACTTGCACTATCATTTGGCGAAGGACAGAGTGGACAAAAGTATTATCCTGAGAATAAAGCCCAAAATGGTTGAAGGATTTCCCCTAGGTTATTGAGCCTTTTAGTGGCACAGTAGGAATCTCCAGTACTGTCACAACACTTGCTCTGTGGACTGCATCTTGATGAACAAGGGCTTTTACAAAAACAGGACATGGTAATTCCGATTAGTAATTACTATGGGGTGAACACTCAGTATATGTTAGATGTTGTTATCACCTGGATCATCCCTGTCATCAGTTATTTTACACATTGGTTTTGGATAAGTGGTTGGGCCAGGGTTCCCACATCCATTGAGAGAACAGAATTTGACATCCCTGGTGCTTTATGTTCACCAGGGGCAGGTCTTGGGGCTGGACTGTCATAGGGATGTCTCCTTGCCTCGTTGAAAATCACTGCATAGCTGAGCAAAGGGGGTGGGGGCCTAATTGGTGGGGATCAGTAGAGACAACACAGCCTACCTCCTGACCGGCAAGCATTCATTCATTTTAGTGGAAGCATGAGAGGTTATGTTGGCTGCAAGCCAAGAACCTGGATCCTGCTCCCAGTGCTACATTTGAGATGTTTTCTTCCCCTGTGGATGGTAATATACTTGGGTAATATATAACTGCCAAATAGAAACGACTGTGATTACCTTGCAGGTGGGGGCACAACACTTGGCTGGCAAACGGCTTAAATTGTTTATTAAAATAATATTTCTTTAACAATTAGAAGTTGCATTTCATCCATCTGTTTGCCAGTATGTTGTCGGAGGTCAGAATAGAGTCCTGCTCATTTTAGAATTTCTAAGTCCACTTTTAGAATTTTCTAAGACCAACCGTGTATCAAAACATTGTTGCTTACCAACTGTTAACATTCCCAAATTCTGCAGGCTTTTCTCAGACCAAATTCACTATGTTTGTAACCAACTCTAGTGTACCACTTGGTCTGTGGGAGGAATTGGGAAGGAAATACTAGTCCTGTTCTTACTCGCATAGTACCACGCTCGCTGCCACACATGGGGTACAGTAGGATCAGAGATGCGGCAGTACATATGAAAGAATCTGGTCAGATGCTGCATGCTAAATTTGAAAATCTCTAAATTTTTCACAGCCTTTTGGAAGAGTAACTAATTATCCAAAATCCAGCAGGATATCACTGACAGGAAAAGACAAAAAGATTTTTGCTTAGATGAGAAAAGCTTTCTTTGGAGGGGTATTTATTCATTTAAAATGTGGTAAAGGCTTTCTTTTCTTTCCATTTCTTTAAAAAAAAAGGTGGCTCTGTTCTGAAAGAGGTAGAACTGTAGAGTGCCTGTGTCTGATCATGCCTGTCATGCTTAAGCCTGTGCTCCTTCCTGTTCTTGCTTTTGCGGTAAGGCAAGATGATGAGGAAGGCTTAGTGACACAGGGTGAGGTAGTGAGTGAATGGACAGTGACCCCAGAAGTGGCAGTCTTGTGGTCCGTCAGTCTGTGGGGTTGTTGGTCTCTCAGCTTCCCTTGGCTGAAGATGCTTTTCTTTAGCCATCTTTGATGAAAGCTATTGTACTGTCCTACCTACTTCATAAATCTGGTGAGAAATCTACCATGATAATACCTCAGTGATGCCACTAGTATTAGTTAATATCTTATATAGAAGACAAATAAATTGTGGAGTCTCAACACATTTCTTGAGGTAGTTCAGATGTTACTTGGGATTGGCTTCCACTAATTTTAGGTTAGTACCATTATGGGGCTATGAAAATACTGAACCTTGTCTTTTAGGGGTACCAGTCATCAAATGAGATGGCAAGAAATGATATTAAAAGAATAATCATCCCTTTTCTCTGAACAAAATTTGTTCACTGAACAAAATTTTATGAAACTGCCTGTTATATTTCAGGGAAGACATGCCATCCATATGCATAATGTCTTTAAGAATATATTAAAAATAGGGGAAATGTCTACTGTTATGTTGTAGTTTAAGGTCACACCTGGTCGTTATGCCATCGGTATAGCCCAAGCAGTCCAGAGAGATTAAGTCAAGACAAAGCCCAAACAGCCCATGTCGCCATCTTCATCCTCAAATGCATATGTGAAGCACAGAGTTGTGTAGTACAGACATTGGTGGGAGAGGAAGTCCGTTCTTGAGCAAATCCTTCCCTCTCTTTGGCCACAGTGTGCCATCTGTCAAATGGGAGATTTAAACAAGATGCTTTCTGGTACTATGACCTCTTCCTTTCCAGTGCATGAGGAATAGGCTACAAAGAGGAGAGATCTGTTTAAGAAGGCCCCTGGGGGGCCAGGGGTTTAGCTCAGTGGCAC